CCCAAACGGCGGCTGCCGTTCCGTGGGTCTCGCTGTAGGGAAGCGGGTGTCATGTGGGGTGGAGAGGTGGTCAGATACTTCCTTTTAAAAAAAAAAAAAATAAAAAATCTGGTTCAATTCCGCTTTCTAGGAAGCGAGTGGAGATACGTGATCCTGTCGGCCGTACGCTCCTGCCCCCGCTCAGAGATTGACAGGAGGCCCACAAAGAGCTGGCAGAAGAAATACTTGGGGTTTGTGACCGACCCCAACCAGGTCAACGTCGCCATTACGCGAGCACAGGAGGGACTCTGCATTTTAGGTGGGTCTCCTGGGAGTGTGCGCGGGGCCTGCAGGGGGACGGGATGCTTGGCTGAAGGGGTGGAGATCCAGGCTAGTACAACCGATGGTCTTGCTTTATTTTTCTGCCCTTTAAACTGTCTGTGGTTTCCAAACTGGGTTATCCGGGCAATCCACGCGCAGCAGAGATGGTGCGTGGCTCGCATGCAGCACGTATAATTAGTTTTTCTCACCCTCTGGTTCGGACCACGTTTCTGTCGCTTTTGCAGGCTAGAGCTCTCTCCTAACAGAATTTGGCTGCTTATTTTCCTCGGAGTGAGGCAGGCGTAGGCTGTGGTGTGTAGGGGAAGCTGCTCGCAGGTATGGCAGCACTGCAAAGGGAGCTGGGCTTTTGTGGAGTTCTGGCTGAAAGCGTTCCCTGCAGGTTATCCAGCACCCTCAGGCTAGAAATGCGAGACAAAAGTTTCTGTGACAGGTAGGGTCTGAGCCTTTTCTGGCCACTAACCCGGTGCCCCCATCCCCGTGCCCCAGGGAACCGGTACCTCCTGGAGTGCAACCCTTTGTGGAGGAGACTGCTGCAGCACTACAGGCAGCAGAACTGCGTTACTGCGGCCCAGGGGATTTGGGTCAGGAAGACTTCAGCCTTGCAGCGATGAGGATGGGTCGGACCTCGGTGAGCTCGTCCCTCTCCACCTGGACTGCGTTACGTGTGCCTTGGGAAGGACACAATCTGTCCGTTATTTCACGACTTACGGAGCCAAACGCAGGCGGGGGAGCCGGGATCTTCCCTGCACAGTGACAGCTCAGCTGCAGTGCGTGCTTTGGCAGCTCGGGGGTTTGTTGTTTGTTTTTTTTTTTAAATCCGTGCGACCTCAGACAAGAACTTTCAGCTCTAGCAAACCAAAAACCATTGGAAATGGATGGACGGGGGTGTGTTTATTTGACGATACTATTTTTTTAACCGTGAGATGCTCAGCGGAGCCCCCATCCTCTCTGCCAGCTGTGCTCTGGGACCAAAGGCTTGGTCCATCCCTGGAGGGTGGAGCGGCTGCACGCGCCGCGCCGAGCTGCCATAGAGGACCAAAGCTTCTGCATGCTACCACTCATGTCAAACCAAGGCCAGGGAATTTGTAAGGCTTCTCATTTCTCAAAGCAGAAAAACAATTATTTTTTTCTGTTTGGGTTTGTGGTGTTGGGTTGTTTTTTTTTTTTTGAGTGAAAGAAGAAAGCGAAGAGAGAACCATGTACCACTCTTTGCCTAGCCGTGTTCTCTGAGCGTGTAAATACCACAGAGCCAAGGCCAAGTCGGTTTTGTAAATAGACTTACTTATCCTTTGTACGAAGGAGGTCGTCCTCACTAGTATAGTTAATGAAAAGCAAGAGGACTGCCCCTACCAGGAAACATTGGAATTTGTAAGCGTATTTTAAACTGTTCTGAGTTCTATTTGAAATCACCTCCTGTAAGATTTTCCCCCCATTTCCTACCCTGTTTTTGGTTTTTTTTTTTTCCTTTTTTAAAGCTGCTTCTAATTTATTAACTTTTAACTCTGTGAATTCGTTTCACAGTCTTATGGCCTGAGTTTTTAAGAGCGGTGATGGAAATTTGATAAATGTACCACAGCATATATGTGTATAATGTATTTTTTTTATTTTAAGTAGCCAAACTGCTGTGAAGGGGAAGCTGTGATTCACCAGAGGAGGCTGCTTTCGCCCGGTGGCGTATGGCCGATGCAGAAGTCTCGCGGTGAAGTGATGCTCTCTGCTGAATCACGGAGCTGCTGTTTGAGGCATGATATTTTCGAGGGAGGGGGTGTCTTTTATCTCATTTCAATTCTGAATGTATGAAGTGCCTGCCTCAGCTCTCCCCAAGACCACACGCTTTGCTGTCTCTACATGTTCGCGTGGGGGGCTGGAACCAGGATGCAGTCACGCTGGTTTTGCCCCACGTCTGTGCTGTGCTGGGACACAAGTCCTCCTCGGTGGTGAGGGGTCCCCGTGGCTTCGCAGCGCTATGGCAGGGATGGGGTTTGTCCTGTGCTTGTGACTGAAAAAGCAGCAAGGCTCTTTCCAGTGTGGAGGAACGTGCAATAAGAAAGCCTTGTGTCTGGAAAAGTCCGTATTTAACACTGTGTTTCTTCTCATGACTCTGTGTTAGACTTAAGCCTATGGAGAAATTTTGTTGTTCTCTTCCTTATTTTAAACTCCCTTCCTGCACTTGTGCGTTTGGTGGGTTTGATCTGAACGCTAGAGACCACCCAGGCTTGCTAAAATCTTTTAAAAGCGTAATAATGGGCACATGGCTGATGATCCCACGAGGGAGAGAAGCCCGTAGGAAACACCTCCTGCTGGTTCTAAAGATGCTTGGTAAAAGCTGCTAAGATGTAAAGTTCGTTGTTCCTCTTTGAAGTCATCCCGGCTGGGATCTTAAAGAGATTCTGCGCCAGCCTGATTTTGCCACAATCGCTGCCATTCCAGAATAAACCTGTGTAGGAATCATTTTGTGGATTAGTGAAATGCGATCGTGTTATCTCCGAGGTGATGTGGAGAATTGCAAAAGGTGCTGGAGTTGTTGGGATAAACACTTCAGCGTGGTGCCAGCGTCATTCTGACAAAGTCACCTTGGTCCCTTTAGAACTGGTGGGTCTTATTTTCATGATATAATGTAAGAGTCTCTCCCCTGTTGGTTTTTTGGGGTTTTTTTGCTGGTTATTTCATTACATGTAACACAAATGAGGAGACTCACCCCAAGCGTAGTGACTTAGTCCAGTGCTCATGCTTGGGCTTTGGCCACGTGTTGGCATAGACCGAGGAAGAGACCTCACAAAGCATCTCCCTTTGCCCTCTGTGGGGAAAAAATATTTAACCTTGGGGGTTAAAGCTGAGACTGAAAGGCTTTGGGCACCTCTGTGTTGCAAGACAATGTACTTTTTTTTTTTTTTTCCTCTGACCATGGGTTTTGTAACTGTTGTTTAGAAAACGCTGCCCGAGACCACCCAAGCAGCAGCAACAGCCAGGCTGGACTCTTGGGCTGTTTGGGCTGTGAGCAGGTACCTGTAGAGTTGGTTGTGCAGCTCCAATAGTCAGGGATAGCAGAAAGTGCAATTAATCAAACTTTTAATAGACTTGTTAGTGACAGCTGAATATTGCGTTCTTGTCCTTGTGTTTAGAAACAGAGACTCATAGAAATTAGTAAAGGTTTTAAAGTAGTCTGGTTTCATTTGCACGCCGAGCTTTGCATTTGCTTTTGAGAGAATTTTATGTTCAAGCACATATTCTGAAAATATTTACAAAGCCCCCAAACCCTCGGTAATTCCAATCGGAAACCACTGGCAGCATGGTGCACAGGGTATCTCTCCAGTCAGGTTCCACGTTTTCCGCAGCTCACAGACAAAAGAATGTCGGTGCAGGACAAAAATCTGGGTCCATCCAACGGGATAACTTACATTTCCTCGGCGCTAGTTAGAGCTCGAGCCTGAGTTGAACACGGGGAACGTGAGCACGCAGCCAGCGGGGTGCCGGGGGGGCGGTCCAGCCATCACCCTGCGTCCTGCTGGGACCAGCAGTGGGATTGGGGATGTCCAGAGCCAGGAAAATCTCTCCTCGGCTCCAGCTGGCAGAGGAGAAACCCACTGGATTGTTTTTCAAGGGTTTGGACAGATGTGTATAGGACAATCAATTTACTGCAATAAATTGTTGGGAGTTTTTTTAAAAAATGGAAATGAAATGTTAAGTGTCATGAAGTGTAAATTAAGGAACTTTTAAGTGTGGCGGGTTTTTATCTTTTGTATGTCTGTGACTTGCAGAAAACCTCAAAGGACATTTTGGATACAAATATTTTTACCTGCTTCTACCATTTATAAGAATGAACCTCAACATTCCTTTTTTTGATATTTAAGCCATAATTGTAAAAATGATTTCAATTTATTTAAATAATAAATTTTATTACTTAAAAACGTCTGTTTATGTGATGGTTTGACTCTGTGTGGGGACAGCTTGGTTCGGCCTGAACCAAAGGGTAAAAAAAAAAAAAAGAGCAAAGATTGTTTTGTACATATTGGTCACGTGGCTGTATTGTCATTCCCTGTTTGTTGTGGAGGTTGGGGGGGGGTTGTTGTTTTATTTTTTAATCAGAGTGTTTTTTTCATGCACTGTAGAGGGGTGGGCATGAAATCACACTTAGGAACTATGAGGCACGGGGTGTAGAGGGTGAGAGGAGCCAGGGATGGAGGTCAGTTAGGGTGAGTGAGTGGAAGAGCTTGGGATTCAGTTCAGGTGTTTTAGAGGAAGGACACGGGGGGAAAAATATAATTGGGGGGGGGGGGGGGA